ATTGAGTGCAAAGTGCAACAGAGGACACTAAACTCTTCGGGGTGAACATCCCTTATGACTAGTACAGGGGCGGACTGACAACTCATAGGGCCCCCTGGCAATAGGGGATCATGGGGCCCCTGTGTCCTTGCCCAAACTCAAAAAAGCCTATGAAAAAGGTACCAGGGGCATCTCATGGGGCCCCCTACTGACCCCGGGCCCTCGGGCAGTGCCCGAGTTTCCAAATGGTCAGTCCGCCCCTGGACTAGTAGTAGGTGGACATACAGCTCAGGGGACTCCAATTATAGAAGAAGCCCTAAGCCAGCAACTCTGGAGCAGTATCTCCAAGGGAAAAATAGCACTAGGATCTCTCTGTCTCTCAGGCCTCTACTGTGTTTCTGTGTACATGGATGCCTCCTTCCAATGCCAGTCAGACACTGTACTGTGAGCCTCCAGGCCAGATCCCCAGTGAACATCTTCCAAACTGTTCACAGAAGCATTAGAGATGAGCTCTCCCTGAGCTGGGACCTCAATGATCTCCTGTTGATTTCAGCTGAGATACCCAGAAGAGCAGTAGCCCTCTAGGCTGAGTCTTCTTGTCCAGGACAAGGACCATGCAGTTTCAGGCCCCAGCCTATTTATACACACCTCAGCCCCCTACTGGTCATTCTTTCCCCCAGGGATTTGCTCAGGCTGTATGACTATGCAAATCCAGGGATTGCCTCTTTTAACCCACTAAATTATAGAACTCAATTATAGAACTATAACGGGGGGAAGTAGCAGCAGAACCCAGAACAGCCAAACTTTGCTCCACTGGCTACAGAGGAGCCAAAAACTAAATTGCCTTAATCATACCAGCAACCTAACTATGAGGACGCTACATAACCAAAATGAAAAAAAAAAAGATTGTAACACATCATACTTCTCAATTTGATCTAATTTGTAAGCTATGAAAAAAAACCCACAATTTGCATTTTTCTTTGATACAGTTTGACTATTGAAAAATTGAATTACCCAACAATCACATCCAGGGGTGGACTGACAACTCATGGGGCCCCTGTGTCCTTGCCCAGACTCAAAAAAGCCTATGAAAAAGGTACCAGGGGCATCTCATGGGGCCCCTACTGACCCCGGACATTGCCCGAGTTTCCAAATGGTCAGTCCACCCCTGATCACATCTAATGGTATTTGAACATTATTAGGATGTGTACTGTATATGTAGAGCTGTTCAAAGACAGGCTAAATTTGGAGTAAAAGGCAGTGGTGGAAATAGCAGTAAACCCAATAAGGTCTTCTAAAAATGAGAAGTTAGTTATTTTATTTCAGGAACTTATATAGTGCTGTCAATTTATGCAGTGCGTTACATTTATTTTGTACATTCACATCAGTCCCTAACCCTCAAGGAGTGTACAATCTAAGGTCCCTAACTTACATTCATACATACACATACTAGGGACAATTTAGACAGGAGCCAATTAACCTACCAGCATGTCTTTTGGAGTGTGAGAGGAAACCAGATTACCTGGAGGAAACCCACACAGGCACAGGGAGAACATGCAAACTCCAGGCAGGTTGTGTTGTGGCTGGGATTTGAACCAATGACCCTAGTGATGCCAGGCAGAAGTGCTAACCATTTAGCCACTGTACTGCCTGTTAGGAGCTCATTGTCTTCTGCCCTGGTGACAGCTTTCAATATTAGAATTTCTCCCCACTTTCTGACCCATTAATAACCCTACTAGAACAGGAAGTGAGGGAAAATTTCATCGCTGGGAACACAGACAACAGTAAACACCAGATGAAGGTTCTAAATCTCTCCCACTGTTCAAAACAATACAAAAACCTGACTGTAATTCCACTTTAACAACACAGTTCATGATAGTTTTTAATTTGCACTAACAGGACAAGTTATGGGGCCTACCCCATCTTCCAAGGTCCAAGCACTAAGCACTACAGTAGCACTTTAAAAGCTTGCCATTAGTCCTATACGTTGAATTAGTGATGTTTAAATTCTGGCATGTGGTCACATAAGGCCCTCAGCTTCTTGTAGTGTTGCTCACAGCCAGGGGCGGACTGACAACTCATGGGGCCCCCGGGCAATAGGGGATAATGGGGCCCCTGTGTTCTTGCCCAAACTCAAAAAAGCCTATGAAAAAGGTACCAGGGGCATCTCATGGGGCCCCGTACTGACCTCGGGCAGTGCCCGAGTTTCCAAATGGTCAGTGTGCCCCTGCTCACAGCAGCCTCTTAGTTTAGACTGGATGGGCTACTTTGGTAGCATAGTGACCGACTACACACTTCCTCTTCATCCATGTAACTATATAAACTACACTTGGTGCAAACAACATAAATATTACAGCAGCACTCAAAAACACATCCAAATACAAACGCGAATAATAACTTTTACCAAAATATGTTGTGTTGAAACTTTAAATTATAACCCAACAGGAACACCCATAAACCATGTGTAAATCCCACAAACTGTGCAAATCATGCAAAAATGATAATGAATAAAGTCAACCAATGAGGCTCAAAGATTTCCTGTGACTTCCCAGTGAATTCCACCACTATACAAAAAGACCAGCCTCTTACCAAAAGACAAGAGTCCTACATTATAGGAGGTCTTGTAGCTCTCAAAGAAGCAAAAGGTCTGTCAGCCACAATCTCAGGAAAATGCAAACTACAGGACTCATCAGCCAGGACGTAATTTAGTACCAGCAAAGATATAAATGACAAATGCTCCATACTGTAAAACTGCATTGTGTGCTTGTTTATGAAAAGAAAGGTACTCACGTTATAGAATAAAAGAGCAACAACACAAATGGACTGCAGATCGGTACACCAGCATGATGATGTCAGCATAAGCTCCACCTTGACGCATTTCGTCATAGACAACGTTTTCAAGGGGATTTACACATGATTTATGGACCTTCATGTTGGACTATAATTTAAAGTTACAGCACAACATACAGTATCTCACAGAAGTGAGTACACCCCTCATATTTTTGTAATAATTTTATTATATCTTTTCATGTGATAATTCTGAAGAAATGACACTTTGCTACAATGTGACGTAGTGAGTGTACAGCTTGTATAACATGTAAATTTGCTGTCCCCTCAAAATAACTCAACACACAGCCATTAATGTCTAAACCGCTGGCAACAAAAGTGAGTACACCCCTAAGTGACAATGTCCAAATTGGGTCCAATTAGCCATTTTCCCTCCCTGGTGTCATGTGACTCTTTAGTGTTACAAGGTCTCAAGTGTGAATGGGGAGCAGGTGTGTTAAATTTGGTGTTATCGCTCTCACTCTCTCATATTGGTCACTGGAAGTTCAACATGGCACCTCATGGCAAAGATGACCTAGGCTATAAGAAGATTGCCAAGACCCTGAAACTGAGCAGCAGCATGGTGGCCAAGACCATACAGCAGTTTTAACCACTTCCTGTCCGGACACTTTTACCCCTTCCTGTCCAGGGCAATTTTTAGCTTTCAGCGCTATCACACTTTGAATGACAATTGCGCGGTTATGCAATACTGTACCCATATGAATTTTTTACCATTTTTTTGAGACAGATAAAGCTTTATTTTGGTGGTATTTATTCACCACTGGGATTTTAATTTTTTTTACTATGTAAATGAAAATGTTCAAAAATTTTGAAAAAAAAGTGTTTTTTTAAATAAAATTTTGCAAATAAAAAATATTTCATCATAAATCTTAGCCAAAATTTATTCCGTTATTTTTTTAGTAAAAAAAAAATCCAAATTAGTTTATAACCAAAAATTATAATTTTTAAAACATTTTTTTTACATTTTATTTTATTTTTTTATATTATTATTTTTTATTTTATTTTTTTTTTTTTTTTACATACTGTCACCCTAGCAGTACACTGTCACCATGGTGACACTGTACTACTTGTGGAGGGTGATGAAGATTTTTTTTTTTTTTTTTTACACTGATTGCTTTTACACCCATATAGGATGTAAAAGCAATCATTTCTCTTTCTCTCTGTCTGAATTCCTGCAGTCATTGAGAATTACTGAGTGAGCTGTGATTGGTCACAGCTTGTCACATGGTACAAGGCTGTTGTGAATAGCCTTGTACCATGTGACCTCTGTGATCATTCACAGATTTCACACATAGTAAGCAATGATGTCACAAGTGACATCTTGCTTACTACTTTGCATGTGATCACTGATTGGCCAATCAGTGATCACATGATCGGGACCTCGTTCAGAGGTCCCGTCCGACGATCGGTGTTTCACTGTGTCCGGAGGACACAGCGGGCACCGGATCGCGGTGGTGCGCGCTCCCAGGGAGCGCGCACAGCTAGAAAAGGCGGGTGCCGTTTATGGACGGCAACCCGACCCTGGACTGCCACCGCCCTGCCGTTTATAAACAGCAGGCGGACGGCAAGAGGTTAACAGGACAGGTTCCTCTGTTATACAAGCTGTACACTCACTACTTTACATTGTCTATCTATCTATCCATTCAGTTGTATCCGACCCTTGGCAATTGCATGGACTGTCACTTGTAAGCAACTTTTCCATGAATTCTCTTAGCAATTATTTTACAGGGTAGGTTGCCAGGTCTTTCCCCAACCCCTACCATGCAGGAGATCCTGCATGGCCAGAGATGAAACTAGGACAATTTAGACAGAGGCCAATTAACCTACCAGCATGTCTTTGGAGTGTGGGAGAAACCAGAAACCAGAAAACCCACACAAGCACAGGGAGAACATGCAAACGCCATGCAGGAGGCTCCATGGTTGGGAATTGAACCCATGATCCATTTTTGCCACAGCAGACATGCTAAACACTAAGCCACTGTGCCACCCTACGTTACATTGTAACAAAGTGTAATTTCTTCAGTGTTGTCACATGAAAAGCCAGAATAAAATATTTACAAAAATGTGAAGGGTGTACTCACTTCTGTGAGATACTGTATTTTGGTATTATTTACTCTTCATTCACATAACTCTTTAAACTCTATGTATTTACTGTGTACCTATTTGTTCTTTAGGTAACATAGAATACAGTTGTCCTGTGGTTAATGACTGTGAAATTACCAAGCGGCGGAGGAAGTCTTGTCAAGCCTGTCGCTTCCGCAAGTGCCTGAAAGTTGGGATGATGAAGGAAGGTAAGCGCATTAGAAGACTTTGGGTCTCCTATAGATATTTGGGGTACAAAAATGTTGGCTTCAACACAAACACCTTTAGACCCTTAGTAAATACTAGTAATGCAACAGAGAATGTGGAAGAGCTCTGCTCTCAAAGTCTCCAGAGTATTACCTTTGATCAAACACTTTACAGCTCTATTGACTCTATTGATTACTATAGAGGCAAAAGCTGAGTTTAGAAAGTAGAAGGTTTATCAGCGTGCTAGAAATGTACTGCAATATGTAAATGAATTAAGGTCACATGAAGATATAGGGGCGTTGTTTAAAACGTTATGTGTTTGGGTGGAAGGTGATAGGGCACCCTTTCTGTAAAATAATAAAAAGCTAATATGAAGATTGACAACTAACATTCTTAGAAAGAGAGGTCAGCAATGGCAGCCTACGTAATCTCTTATGACAGGTATATTTTAGGTAAAAATGTATCTAGTTTTGTAGTCACAATATAAAGATCTGTTGCGATCAATGCGGGTGATATCCAATTTGACAGCAACAACAGGGATAGTAGAAAGGGAGGGAGATTGGCAGAGGAACTATGCTAGACCTTTATATCAGGTTTACGACATAAATTAACCGTACTGTAATGTCCTTAACAGTACAAGATGTCAGACTGCAAGAGTATCTTAGGCTGAATTCACGACTGAGCGACATGGAAAGCCGGGTAGAAAAACGCGTTTCCACCTTATCCACCAGCACCATATTCAGTGCACACAGGGGAAACCACCAGGGGCGGACTGACAACTCATGGGGCCCCCGGGCAATAGGGGATCATGGGGCCCCGGGCAATAGGGGATCATGGGGCCCCTGTGTTCTTGCCCAAACTCAAAAAAGCATATGAAAAAGGTACCAGGGGCATCTCATGGGGCCCCCTACTGACCCCGAGCCCTCGGGCAATGCCTGAGTTTCCAAATGGTCAGTCCGCCCCTGGAAACCACACAACTGCAGATATGAAAACTAGTGATGTAAAAAAGATGCAGTGTTGAGTATGACTTTTAATTAAAGATATGAAACTTTTGGTCCTAGGGGTGAGGTTGGATCGGGTTCGAGGTGGGAGACAAAAGTACAGACGACCAGTGGAAGCTGAAGCTCCAGACCCCTGCAGCTTTCTCAACACCCATCACTCACTATCTGGAAAGAAGACAAGTAGGTATCAAGGAGCATCTAAAAGTATTAGCATGTAAGACCCTATTCATGGAGTGTGGAAGACTTTCATGTCAAGCACAGAGGGCCTTATATGAAGTGAAGAGGGGATTGCTACACATTTACTTACATGCTGTCTCATCTCTTGAACTATACTGGGAGCTTCCAGGCTGCACAATTAGCCAGTGCCTCAGGCTATGTCCTGCAACAATCCATAGATTTGCTGAGCACGGAGAACTGAGACTTAGTCCCAGCCCTTTCAGAAATGGACCAGCTTCCTCATTATCATGAGAAGGTTCTTACATCATTCTCTGGGAGTGTACTCCATTCTGATGCCTCACATGACCACCAGACTGAAATTCATACTTTCCTCGCAGTGTAGCCACTTTTGTATGGCTGGTGCACACCTTGCTTCCAATTCACTGTCTATTCCCTAACCAGCACTCTCTTCACTTCCACTGGATCTAAGAAACACACACTACTTCATGTTCAAGAACTTTTTTTTTTTTTTTTTTACAAAACAGGATTTTTTTATTGCAGTCATGAGTATAATAAAGTATACAACACAACAATATGACATGCTTAAGTGCTGTACAAATCTAAAAGGACAATTTTATCAAAGAGTAAGAAGGTCCAACGAGACAAAGCAGTGTCAGCTTACCAGTGTGATATAGAGCACAGTGATGCATACCAAGGTTGTAACATGCACAGTAAAAGCACCAGACCATCCCTAGGGGCAGTGGGTGGGTAAAAAAAAAAGGGAAAGAGGGGGGAAGCAAACATGGCCACCAGACAGAGATTCATACTTTCCCCACAGTGTACTAAACGAGGTAGTGTACACATACATAACTTGATGTCCAAAGGGAACACTCCTTATCGTACTTCCAGGGGCAGCCCCAATTTATATAGGTTAATGTATACATGGGTAGGGCTGTATCAAACATATCCTCCCAGGATGACACCACAGAAAGGGCGGCAGAGGTCAACTTCCTAAAGATTTCCTTTTTCGTATAGTATATGATAGATATGAAAGATAGGAGATCAACAATTTTGTATGGTGAGAACGCTGAGCATCCTCATGAGTCCCCAGTAGGGCTAATTGGTATAGACAATTGCTGCCAAAAATTAATCACCTCAAAAACCTCAGACCAGTAAGGCAGTAAGCTTAGAGCAATCCCAGAACATATGGAAATAGGACCTCGGGTAGAGTCAACAGTGGGGGCATACAGGGTCACGGTTTGGATACATTCTATGGAACTTCAGGGGGGGTATAATTCACTCTGTGCAAAAACCTAGCTTGTATAAGTTTATCCTTGCAGGAAATAACAAACTTAGGGCATTGTTCCAGACAATCTTACCAAACTTCCCTATCCAGGGATGGAATATCACCCCTCCAGAGGTCCCACATGCCATGGGTGGACTGACAACTCATGGGGCCCCTGGGCAATAAGGGATCATGGGGCCCCTGTGTCCTTGCCCAAACTCTAAAAAGCCTATGAAAAAGGTACCAGGGGCATCTCATGGGGCCCCCTACTGACCCCGGGCCCTTGGGCAGTGCCCGAGTTTCCAAATGGTCAGTCCACCCCTGCCACATGCACTCAATCTTGGAGGAGTTAACACACAAAAGTGCCCCATATAAAGCAGAGAGTGGCTTATCTAAGCCCCCCTGGGTCAGCAGCTCTACAGTAGGATCAGTATGCTCAGGAACTTTTACTGAAACCTCTTAATGTAAAACGCAACACCTTGATCAGTAGACCAGCACTCTAATGCTGCTGGGCTGTGCTAGCTTTTCAATTAACAGTCCTTCTCTATGATCTCTTACAGCAAATAAAGTGGTGTCACATTTGGTTTTGGTCGAACCCGGAGAAATATTTGCCAGCCCTGACCTCAACCTTCCAGACAGCGACCTGCGAACACTGACTACACTGTGTGAGCTAATCAATCGCGAGCTTCTTGTCACCATTGGCTGGGCCAAGCATGTTCCAGGTAAAAGGCACCATTGACACGTTTATTTATTTCAGGTACTTATATAGCGCCGTCAATTTACGCAGCACTTTACATATATATTGTACATTCACATCAGTCCCTGCCCTCAAGGGGTGTACAATCTAAGGTCCCTAACTTACATTCATACATACACATACTAGGGCCAATTTAGACAGGAGCCAATTCACCTACCAGCATGTCTTTGGAGTGTGAGAGGAAACCGGAGCACATGGAGGAAACCCACGCAGGCACAGGGAGAACATGCAAACTCCAGGCAGGTGGTGCTGTGGTTGGGATTCAAACCAACGACCCTAGTACTGCCAGGCGGAAGTGCTAAATATTTAGCCACTGTGCTGCTCACATGAGCTCTGAGGGATCATTAAATATTAATGCTAAGAAAAAAAATACCTAATGAATTAAAGGGATCCTATAGTTTTTCTAAAATTGTTTTTTTTAGAGATAAATGTAATCAGTGATCACATTAATTCAAATAATCTCATCAACTTGTGTTAATGTTTTTACATTTCTTTTTTCTCTGTGCTGTGTGTAATATATATACACTCACCGGAAACTTTATTAGGTACACCTTGCTAGTACCATGTTGGACCCCCTTTTGCCTTCATAACTGCCTTAATTCTTCGTGAGATAGATTCAACAAGATGTTGGAAACATTCCTCAGAGATTTTGGTCCATATTGGCATGAGTTACTGTTGCCTTTCTATCATCTCGAACCAGTCTGCCCATTCTCCTCTGATCTCTGATATCAACAAAGCATTTTTGTCCACACAACTGCCGCTCACTGGATATTTTCTTTTCTTCAGACCATTCTCTGTAAACCCCAGAGATGGTTGTGTGTGAAAATCCCAATACATCAGCAATTTTTAAAATATTCAGACCAGCCCGTCTGGCATCAACAACCATGCCACGTTCAGTCACCTAAATCCCCTTTTTTCTCCATTCTGATACTCTGTTTGAACATCAGAAAGTAGTCTTCACCACACCTAGATGCTAAATGCATTGAGTTTCTGCCATGTGATTGAATGATTAGCAATTTGTGTTACCAAGCAATTGATCAGGTGTACCTATTAAAGTGGCCAGTGAGTGTTGGTCAAAGCACAAAAGAAAATGGCTAAAAATGGTGAATGAAGGAATTAAAATGATCAACTATGTCAAGGAAAATAAACCAAAGTCTGATATGTTGGGAACTGGAAAAAAGTATAAATAGGTTCCAAAGTTCAATCCTTTAGCTTGTTATAAATCAGTGCCAGAGAGACAGCATACGATTAGAAATTAAAAACTTTCAGAGATACAGTAGTTTTCAAGCAATAAATAATTTTGTAGCCGTAAAATCAGACTGGCTTCTGTCATCAGGGTAAATTGAGTTTTGCTCCACTCTACCTTCCCCACACGTTGGGTTAACAAGACGCATTGTGGCGGGTGATGGTTCCCCTCTAGGTCGGGTTCTGCACTATCATCCTGCAGGATCTATTGAGTGCCTCAGAAAAGGACACAGATTATCATCTCCGAGTTAATAGTATTCAGGGTCTCTTCAGCATGTGTGACATGGCAGAGCCCTCTCCTGTGATAGCAATCTCCAATATTTCCCAATTAAACTCGGCACTCAGGTTTATAAAGAAACAATTGTATGGCCACGGTTTGAAAGAGGCAAGTAATGGAGGTTGACACTACAAAGAGCAACTAATTGAAAAGCAAAGCAGAGTGTGACAGGCCAAGGGAGGTTCAGGCTGATATCCTCAGAAAAACCCAACCTCGCAGCAGTAGAGGTTATTGGGGGAGGTGGAATATCATACAGAACCTAGGTTTCTGCCTTGCTAGGTAATTCGTATAAACAAGGGCAGCACAGTGACTATCTGATCAGCACCAAGTTTAGAGTTAGGGGCACTAGTCCTTAGCCCATGCTATTAAAAGTACTCAGAGACATAATATGACAGTTGGGCAGTTATCCCATTTATAAGAAAGATCCTTAACACTACTGGTCAACTTCTTCAGGTAGAATGAGTGGTTGGACAAGTTACTGTTGTTCCCCTCAGAATGTTGGCAGTAAAGTCCTTCTTTCCAAACCCTACCCTATCTTTGTTTTTAAAAAATAACTTGTAAACTCGACATATCTGAGCTTACAAGTTTATGGAGCGATCTGAAGAGTTCACCGCCATGCCCCAAAATCTAAAGTCCATCTCCCATCTGCCATTAGCTTGTTTGTCTGGGTGCCAAGAGGTTCCCCGCGTCCATTAATGTGTCTACAAGCATGCTTAGCCAAAGTCATAGCAGTGTAAATGGAATATTTCATGTTTTTCATCGCTGTGTAATTGGCACAGGGACTGTACACGTGTAGAGAGAATGTTAAAGAGGAACTGAAGTGCTGCAAAGGGTAAAGAACCAGTCACCAGTATTGCCTCTCACTGCAGATAATTTTTCGCCCTTTACGGACTTACCATGTCAGGTAGGGATTTCCCTTCACATATCAGAGCCTCCAGCAAGGAGAACAATGAGCAGCACAGTGGTGACCTCACCAAATCTCACTCCATTTCTCCTGAGACCATCAGTCTTTGGCAGCAGTGACTTGGATCTCACATTGCAGCTATACAGCTATGGGGATGTAGACAAAGGAGTGCCTAGGCACACTCACATACCAGGAAGTGCACTATTTTGTAGGAGGAATTCAAGACAAAAGGTACATTTTTCAGAATACTAACTAGGCACAATTAACACTTCTAGATGTTGTCCTATAACCTAGCAAATCTTTGTTTATTGAGTTCACTCTTTAAATGCTGAATTAGCATAGGATCGTACTTGGGGGATTGGTTTAAAAGTGAAGGTTAGGTTGAATATTAAGGGGTTAAGACTAGGTTGCATATTCGAACTCAGAAAGTTCATGTAGTATATTAAATAGATGATCAACTCAGCAGCAGATTTCAAACAGGCTTGTGACAGGAACCGATCGTAAAAGTGCGCACTCACCGGAAGCGCATAGGTAATGTGCATATAATTTATAACCACCAGGATCTCTTTAAGTAGGCAGAATATATAGGTGAGTTTCCATCTATGGATTGGTCATCAAGTCTTGGGATAGTGTGGAAATCTGCTGGGTCCAGAGGTCCCCTTAAGGATGGATGGGTGCTTTGCCTGGATACAGGGCTCCCTTCCTCTGGATGTTGAAATTCAATGGGGGTGATCTGCAAGTTTAATAGCTCCAAGTGGGAGCCAAAAAACAGGTGCCCATAGTGTAGTATTTTATAGAACGTTTATTCCAGTAAATATAAAAAATTACAGGGTAGTATTGCACAATAACGTCAAGATTAATGCAGAGTTAAGCAGCGCTGACCCTATTAAAGATGGTCACTGGGCTTCCTCGTGGCTCCAGCAGCAGTGACGTCACGTTCTGTCAGCTCCTCCTCCTCTGTCAGCTGACAGAACGTGACAAAAGTATGGGCTCTTAAAAAAGCAAACAAACAAACATACTCCCCTCCATGCTGCAACATCTGCTCCATATCAGCAATAGTCCGCTATCAGCTGTATCAGCTGACTCTGGGTCACAGGAGAGACATAAGTAAATGTACTTCTTTGACCCACAAGAGAACTATAACTGAAAAAGCTTTGGCCATACTTCTCTTTTACGTTTTAGGAATAAGTTATGTTTCCCTGTCATTTTAGGTTAAGTATTAAGTATTAACCTATTAATGATTTCATAGAGTAAGGGCCCATTTACACTTGCTTCGACTTTAACACAAATTAAAGCTCCTACCTATTCATCATGCTTTTTTATGTGTTTTTGATGCTTCAGTGATGCTTTGATGATGCTTTTTTAAAGCTTTAATGATGGTTGGCAAATGCCGTGTATGTGTGTTGATTTTCTATTTGTATTAAAGATGCGCAGTAGAACCCTGGCTCAGTAGTACCCCCACTCAGCAGATTCCCAGCTCATTAGTAACCCTGTTCAGCAAATCCCCAGCTTATTAGCACCTTTGTTCAGCAGATCCCCTGCTCAGTAGTAACCCCCCAGCTCTGCTGATCTCCTGCGCAGTAATAACCCCCAGCACTGCTGATCCCCTGTGCAGTAGTAACCCCCAGCTCTGCTGATCCCCCACTCAGTAGTAACCTCCAGTTCTGCTAATCCATCGCTCAGTAGAAACCTCCAGCTCTGCTGATCCCTCACTCAGTAGTAATCCCCAGCTCTGCTGATCCTCTGGTTTGCAGATTCTCCTCTTTCTCTTGTCACCGATCCCTTCTCGCTATATTGAGCACTATGTGTGACATTGCTAGTTTCTCCTGCTCTGGTCCCCCAGCTCTGCTGATCCTTTTCCACTCAGTCCTCTCTCTCCAGTCCCCGCTTACCTTTTGCTGTAGCGTTCCCTGCCCACCTTCCTGCTGCTCCCCACTGCACACCAGATGTGATGTCTGCACCAGACACTTCCAGAATATATACACATGAACCAGAAGTGGCTGTTGATTATGTCTTTCCAGTTCACTTGTTGGTTTCACAGTGCATCCTGGGGTATCTCATACCTGCAATACCACCAAAACAAAGCAAAGCTAAAACTGAATAAAAGCATCTCAAAACCTGCAGGTGCTGCTAGTGAGCTTTCTCATAGACTTCTTCTATAGAGGCTTTTGAGATGCTTTAAAGCACCAAGAAAGCAACATGGAGTATAATATTTGAAACAAAGCAAACCAAGCACAACGTGTGAACAGGACTGTAAGATTATCATTTGCTAGCATCAAGTTATCTGTTGAGGAGATGGTTAAGTGTTAGGGTAAACTTTAGGGGTAAGGGTCAGGTAACGGTGAGGGTACACTTGGTTTTAGTGCTGAAAATGCCATGCTGGAAGCAACTGTGTCTGGTTTAAATTGGTGACACAAAAGTTACCACAAAGTTACTGTTTAATCCCCTCTCATTACTTTAAATGAGGCCTGCTTTTAACTTCTTTCTATTGTTTTTTAGTTTCCATTCCTCAAATTCTTCTTAAGGAATATTGTGTCCTTACAATGCTCTACAAAACTAAGTAAATCTTCTATTCTAATGTCTTTTCCTCAATTTTTCTTCCTCTTAGGTTTCTCTGTCCTTTCCCTGGTAGATCAAATGGCTCTTCTGCAGAGCGCTTGGATGGAAGTCTTGATCCTGGGCATCGTCTATCGCTCTCTAGAGCTGGACAATGAGCTGGCAGTTGCGGAGAACTTCTTGTTGAGTAGGGAAGAATGCCGTAGCTCTGGCCTCTTGAACCTTCATTCTGTACTTCTCCAGCTAGTCAGGAAATATCGGAAGACAAAGTTAGACAAAGAAGAATTTGTCACACTAAAAGCCATGGCTCTCGCCAATTCAGGTGCTGAGATAGTGATGTCTATTTTCAAAAATAATTACATCTGATTTCTACATTTTCAGCCTGTTCACTGTCCCCTATTTTGTAGAGGAACAGTACCATAGTAATCTGGTTGCATAGAGATGCCCCATTGCAAATAATAACAAGTACGCTTGAACACATTGAAAAGCTTTGTTTAATTCATGAAAATATATATTTTTCCCTTTGAGAATTGAAAGAACCCATCACTATGCACACCATATGGTGTGGGATTGTGGTGAGTCTGGTGCCGATGGCATCTGAGCAATAATGGCTATATATCTTACCTGCAGGGGTGGACTGACAACTCATGGGGCCCCTGGGCAATAGGGGATCATGGGGCCTCTGTGTCCTTGCCCAAACTCAAAAAAGCCTATGAAAAAGGTACCAGGGGCATCTCATGGGGCCCCCTACTGACCCCGGGCCCTTGGGCAGTGCCCAAGTTTCCAAAATGGTCAGTCCGACCCTGCTCACCTGATATATCATCTAAAATGTGATCAGCCTTTCAGGGCAAATGTTAGATTCATCTACCAACATCCAGAATATATATATTTAAAAGTCCACCTTGTGCGTCAAAAATGTAGATATGTTGGAAAGATGAAACGTGTCTTCCACAGAACAGAACTTCAATGCCAAATAGGAAAAACCTAACTTTCATTTTCACACCTCATGATCAAGTGATACACCACTCCCTACAGACTGAGACTCATCAAATCAACATGCCTCTCATAATCTCATAATAATGATCAGCATAGTGTGCTTGTATCTGATAGTAGATCTCCAGTTGTGACAGGAACAATGTGGTTCAATCTCTCTTCCACTACCCAACTCAATCACATGGGATATAAGAAAAAAGGCTCTGATAGCATAATTCCATAAAAAACATCCACTTTATTAAAAAAGTATATCTACTCACAAATAAAATCAAGTACAATGCTCATCAACATAATGTGAAGGACTGCAGTTTCACCCAAACCGCCAGCGTCAGAAGCTCAAACCGGGAGTATCAATATCTCACCTGCTCTCCGCCCATCACTTCTAACGCAAATGATAAGTCACAGGTTTTTGCGTCGCTTCCGGTTGCCGTACAGCCATGCCCCAACGCTTTTTGTCCTTCAAACTTATCTACATTTTTGACACACAAGGTGGACTTTTTAAAAGCATTCTGGATGTTTGTAGGGTTTTTATATGATTCCTATATGGCTATAACCACATGGATGAAAAATATAATTTAAATATATTTTAAAAATATTCTTCCCAAATATATTGACAAATATTTGAAATACTACAATTTTGGCTATATTCAGTATATTTTAAAATATATTTCACTAAAATTTATATATATATATACACACACACACACGCACACATATATACACACACATATATACTGTACATATATATACATAATACATACATAAACACACACACACACACACACATATATATACACACACACTCACACACAAATACACGCTGCATGTTGAAATGCGTTTTTATTACAAAATATATGAAAAATATTTTTAAAAATACATTTCAAATATACTGTATGTATTTAAATATAAAGATCTACATTTTTGGATTGCATGTACAAATATATGTAAAAAATATATGTTAAAATTACTTTTTTATATGTTAAAAAAATCTTAAGAATATATTTAAAAAAATATATTTTTTTAAAAATATATATTTTTTAAATATATTCTTCAGACTTTTTTTTAAATATTTTGAATATGGCCAAAAATTTTAGTGTTTCAAATATATGTTAATATATTTGGGAAGAATATTTTTCAATATATTTTTCTTCCATATGGGTATATATATATATATATATATATATATATATATATATATACACACACAGTCACGTCCATAAATATTGGGACATCGACACAATTCTAACATTTTTGGCTCTATACACCACCACAATGGATTTGAAATGAAACAAACAAGATGTGCTTTAACTGCAGACTGGCAGCTTTAATTTGAGGGTATTTACATCCAAATCAGGTGAACGGTGTTGGAATTACAACACTTTGCATGTGTGCCTCCCACTTCTTAAGGGACCAAAAGTAATGGGACAGAATAATAATCATAAATCAAACTTTCACTTTTTAATACTTGGTTGCAAATCCTTTGCAGTCAATTACAGCCTGAAGTCTGGAACGCATAGACATCAGCAGACGCTGGGTTTCATCCCTGGTGATGCTCTGCCAGGCCTCTACTGCAACTGTCTTCAGTTACTGCTTGTTCTTGGGGAATTTTTCCTTCAGTTTTGTCTTCAGCAAGTGAAATGCATGCTCAATCAGATTCAGGTCAGGTGATTGACTTGGCCATTGCATAACATTCCACTTCTTTCCCTTAAAAAACTCTTTGGTTGCTTTTGCAGTATGCTTTGGGTCATTGTCCATCTGCACTGTGAAGCGGCGTCCAATGAGTTCTGAAGCATTTGGCTGAATATGAGCAGATAATATTGCCCGGAACACTTCAGAATTCATCCTGCTGCTTTTGTCAGCAGTCACATCATCAATAAATACAAGAGAACCAGTTCCATTGGCAGCCATACATGCCCACACCATGACACTCATACCACCACCACCATGCTTCACTGATGAAGTGGTATGCTTAGGATCATGAGCAGTTCCTTTCCTTCTCCATACTCTTCTCTTCCCATCACTCTGGTACAAGTTGATCTTGGTCTCATCTGTCCATAGGATGTTGTTCCAGAACTGTGAAGCTTTTTTAGATGTCGTTTGGCAAACTCTAATCTGGCCTTCCTGTTTTTGAGGCTCACCAATGGTTTCCATCTTGTGGTGAACCCTCTGTATTCACTCTGGTGAAGTCTTCTCTTGATTGTTGACTTTGACACACATACACCTACCTCCTGGAGAGTGTTCTTGATCTGGCCAACTGTTGTGAAGGGTGTTTTCTTCACCAGGGAAAGAATTCTTCGGTCATCCACCACAGTTGTTTTCCGTGGTCTTCCGGGTCTTTTGGTGTTGCTGAGCTCACCGGTGCATTCCTTCTTTTTAAGAATGTTCCAAACAGTTGTTTTGGCCACGCCCAATGTTTTTGCTATCTCTCTGATGGGTTTGTTTTGTTTTTTCAGCCTAATGATGGCTTGCTTCACTGATGGTGACAGCACTTTGGATCTCATCTTGAGAGTTGACAGCAACAGATTCCAAATGCAAATAGCACACTTGAAATGAACTCTGGACCTTTTATCTGCTCATTGTAATTGGGATAATGAGGGAATAACACACACCTGGCCATGGAACAGCTAAGAAGCCAATTTTCCCATTACTTTTGGTCCCTTAATAAGTGGGAGGCACATATGCAAACTGTTGTAATTCCTACACCGTTCACCTGATTTGGATGTAAATACCCTCAAATTAAAGCTGACAGTCTGCAGTTAAATTACATCTTGTTTGTTTCATTTCAAATCCATTGTGGTGGTGTATAGAGCCAAAAATGTTAGAATTGTGTCGATGTCCCAATATTTATGGACGTGACTGTATATAAAAAATGTATGATTCACAGCGCTACATATAGCTCACAATTTAGAGATTTATGCGCAGTAAAAGATATAGACTATCAGCAGGACCTGCTACTTGTCTCTAAACAAGCAAAGGGACAGGTTAACTTAAAAAGGCTAAGTTCACCTTTTCCAGAAAATAGTCTATGCCATCACAGGGGGCCATTTGGGTCCAGTCAGAAGTATGGCTAAAAAACTCCTAGATAGCATCCCCCATGTCCTGACTTGTTGTTAGAACATGAACGCTCACTCCCAGCACTGCAGAAGAGAAAACCAACGGTTTTTTACATCCTAGTAACAAGGCAGAATGTGAGGGTTGCTAACGAAGAGTTTTTTAGCTAGTCTTCTGAGCGGACCCAAATGGCCTTCAGGTAGAACAATAAAATCAATGATTATTTTACAAAGCTGCACAGATTTTTAATAACCACCAGGGTCCCTTGACCGTATAGACTAATTTCTGGAAAAAGGTGAACCACGCCTTTTAGGTTGGTAGTACACATAAGTTGGCAGTTTGATATGCACATACGGGATCTGACTACTGACCAATGGGGTTTGGCTTTATGAACATTTTGGCATGGGCGATTTCCCTCAAAATCCATACCAGACCCGACGGGCTTGGCATGTACGGGGGGAGGGGGGGTAAAACCCCATGCCTTTAATAAAAAAATTATTTTCACATTCAGCTGTCAGCTGAAAGTATTGTAGTATTGTAGTATTGTTTTCGCACAATACTATAATAATATAACTCATTCAGTATTTTAGTAGCTGTGCTGTATCTTACTGCATACTTAGATGCAGTAAGATACCACTTAGTGAATTGTCCCTGTTTGAAGTTCGCGGTTGAATTTTCAGTGGGTTCAAATGTTCAACCGCGTACTGAACAGGGAGGGTGTTCGACCCATCACTACTGACCAATTTCTGTCTTTTTCTTTTTTATACATGGCTATGCACTATACAGAGAACCACACATACTCTTTTATCTTTGTGGAACAATACTTTCCAATTTTCCCTCAAAAGCATTAGACTAGGGTGTACCGGTGCACCAATGTTTCCATGGACATCAGTCATTTATCAATTCATCCAGAATTGACCAATGGTCATCGAATTCTTTGGATAATTATAGCCATAGGTATCTCCCTTTAGTTTATCTACCACTCTGACCAATTCCATCCAGTACCGATCTTGATATAAGATTTCAGCCAGGGGATGACCACAGTGACAGCTGCCACTGGCCTTAACAACTAGACAGCTCTGTGTTATCGATGGCTGCCTCTTGGAGTTTGGCACAACCAATCAATAATGTCCTGAGGTGTTTTGTGTGTGGCATGGTTTGGAACAAAAGAAAGCGTTGGGGGAGGAGTTCTTTCCTCGCAGAGTAATCAAAGGTTTTGAAGCCTCCGGCAATCCATGCACTAAATAGACTTGCTTAATTTAGATATGTGTCAGTGCT